TGTGTGTAAAATAATCTTATAAAAATAACTCTCATAAAATATCTCATCAAACAAATATTATAAAATAACTTCATCACAACTATTATAGTTTGTTTGGATACAAACATTCAAAAGACCTTTTTCATTAAAAAAAATTAAATATGTTTACAGTTGCTCAAACCGTGAGGGCTTAGGCTCAAAGCGGACAATGTCTCATTATTATGGAATTGTGTGTAAAATAACCCTCATAAAATATTCTCTCAAACAAATACCATAAAATAACTTCATCACAACTATTATAGTTTGTTTGGATACAAATATTCAAAAGACCTTTTCAATTGAAAATACAAAAAATAGAATTAAATATGTTTATAGTCCCTCAAAATTAGGATAAATTTATTTTTAATATATTAAATTTAAAACTATTATTTTTAGTTCTTGTAATGTTCAAGAATCTTTTTTTAGTTTCTCATGTTATCGATAATATATTTAAAAAAACATATTCAGACAATTATGCATGATTAGTTCAATTTGATGTGATGTTTTTTAACTAATAAGGATATTAACATGTAGATTTTATACAATAGTGTTTAATAGATTTATAAACAAAATTTGAATATAAGGATTAAAACAATATTTTCTTAAATTATAAGGATGAAAAAATAAATTTACCTTAAATTTAAGAAACTAGAAATATATTTATGCCAAAATTTTATTACCAGTTGATATATATTCTATATTATTGATGAATTTATAATTTTAAACATTGATGTATTGAACGTTTATAACTTAAATTTTTTATAACTATATTATTAAAAGAAAAAGTTTGGGTCCATTTACGGAGTTCTTGACCTGTCGTTGTTGGTGTTATTAAGCACATAATAATTTTGAATCACTTTTAATGTGATATGAAGTTAATATTTTATTTTTTTTATTTATATAATTTTACTTACTTTATTTTTATAATTTTTATATTTTAAAATAAATATTTTTAGTTTTATACTTGTTTTTTTTAATCTCTTTAACTCTCTACCATTATTTTGTGTGTAACATTGTCTCTTTTTGTGTTGATGCAATACAAGCCTTCAATTTTGTGTTTGTGACGTGGAAATGAAGTTAAAATAAGTTAAAATACTCTTGAGCTTCTTTAGTTTCACTTACTTTATCTTTTAATTTCTATACTTACCTTTTCGATCTCTTTAAAACCATACCATTAATTAGTCTGTAACACTATTTCTTTGTGAGTGACGTTAGCTATTAAATCCAAGTGACGTTGATTTGTTTGGTTTGGTGGATGGTGATGTGTGTCACTTCATAATAGGGATAAAAATAAAGTCTTTGATCAACATAAGGCATCTTTCTATTGTCGCCAACATGATCATGAAGCAAGTGGGAAAAAACCTTATTCTAGTTTTCATTTTATTGCAGAGGAGCATAGTCGATTTTTATGCAAGAAAGGATGCGTTGTTGTTGCAGTCTCATGGTGCATGAGGATAAGGTTATATATTTTTCAATAATGAGTTGTTTTTAGTGGAGTAAGGTGGTGTTGCTACTGTTGGTGGAGCTTAGTGGTGTCGTTGGCTTTGGTGGAGTGGGGTGGTGGTGTAAGGTGTTTTGTGCATAGGAGTTTGGTGGACTTCTATGGCATACCATGTTGTTGTTTGGTGAGCTTCTGAGGCGAAGTACATTGGTAATGGTAGGTGATTTTAATCCATTTTTTTCATCTCGTTGTACCTTTGAATCCACAATAGGAAAAAAGCTTTTTTTTTTACCAAGTTTATTTCGTGTGAAACTCGAGATGTATCTGCACATTTTCACTATTGATGTATTTCAAGAACTCAACCTTCTTGGATGGATATCTCTCAATTCTCACCATATTCTAGTTTTCATTTTATTGCAGAGGAGCGTAGTCGATTTTTATGCAAGAAAGGATGCGTTGTTGTTGCAGTCTCATGGTGCATGAGGATAAGGTTATATATTTTTCAATAATGAGTTGTTTTTAATGGAGTAAGGTGGTGTTGCTATTGTTGGTGGAGCTTAGTGGTGTCGTTGGCTTTGGTGGAGTGGGGTGGTGGTGTAAGGTGTTTTGTGCATAGGAGTTTGGTGGACTTCTATGGCATACCATAATGTTGTCGTTTGGTGAACTTTTGAGGCGAAGTACATTGGTAATGGTAGGTGATTTTAATCCATTTTTTTCATCTCGTTGTTCCCTTTGAATTCACAATAGGAAAAAAGCTTTTTTTTACCAAGTTTATTTCGTGTGAAACTCAAGATGTATCTGCACATTTTCACTATTGATGTATTTCAAGAACTCAACCCTCTCTTGGATGGATATCTCTCAATTATCACCATAGTATGGTGGAAGCAACTCTCTATTTCTCTCAAAGAGATATACAACAACTTTCTCACTCTACTTTTTTCTCCTCAATGAGAACTCTAGAATGGATTGTGTTGGGATACAATCAAAGTTCCACATCTTGAAAACAAAAAGATGAACATAGGTTTATATACACACATATATGTCTCCATTTGGTTAGAGGTCTTTTGGGTGATATCAAAAAGCAAAATCGTGAGGATTTAGACACAAGTGATATCAAAGTCATTGGTTTGACAAAGTGACTAGCTCAATGAGTATGATGGTTGACACATGGATCTAAGTATATGATAATTGACAGGTGGATCTAGGTATAGGATCTCTTGTGTCAAAAGTCATTCTAACAATAGGTCCATGTATGGAAAAGAGTCTCTCCAGTAACATGGAGGGTTAATAGTCACGTGTCGCTATAGTGAGTTAACAATAGAACGACAATGTAAGTACTTAAAATGTTACTAAGCTATTTGGGCCACATTGGATATATTCATGGATTGATAGTTTTTGTTGTAAATGGAGTTAAACCATGGTCCTTTGTTTGAGAGAGGGATTGTTAGGATACAATTAAAGTCCCACATCTTGGAAATATAAGGATGAACATGGATTTATATACACGTATATTTTCGCTGCAAAGGGAGTTAAGCCATGATCTTTTGTTTGAAAGGAGGATTATTGGAATACAATCAAAATTCCACATCTTGAAAACAAAAGGATGAACATGAGTTTATAAATATACATATATATGTCTCCATTGGTTATAGGCTTTTTAGATGATATCCAAAACCCTAAGAACTTAGGTCTAAAGTGGACAATATCTTACCAATATGAAAATATATATGTGGAAGATTGAAAGGAATAATCTTCGCCAAACATCTCCCTGTTTATAGGGGATGGAATGGACATTCATTCATGACTCTTTATGGATAACTATTTATTCATTCATGGTTCTTCATGAAAAAATGACTCTTTATGAAAGAATGATTCTTCGTGAAGGGATGACTCTTCATGAAAAAATGATTCTTTATAAATAAATGACTCTTTATGAGGTCATCATCAATTAAGGGAGGAATCTCAACATTAAGGTAGTGTTTGGACTAGCTAATCTTTCTTGCTAGTCAATCCAAGAAAATGGATGACCTTTATATACGATGTTTGAATTGTGTTGTTTTATTGTTAAAGGATTGTCGATATATTTTCAATTAAGAAACTCTTTTGTTTATTTTATTTTTTTTTCTTAAATATGATTTTAGTCCCTTTAAAATGAGCATGTTTTGATTTAGTCCTTGTAATATATATATATTTTTTTTTTTGTTTTTCATCCTTCCAAAATTCAAATTATTGTTATTCATCGCGTCAATTTTTCTGGTATAAACTTAAATTTAAGTGTGTCAGAAAAATTGATGTTATATTTAAAGAAATAGCGTCGATTTTTTCGACACTATACATACTTTGAGAGAGATAAAGATAATTTTGTTCAAACTTATATACGCATAATGTGTCGTAGTGCAGTTGGATATTAAGTTACTTTAACACATTGAGGGTTCAGAATTGAGTCTCGACAATGTTAAGTTTAGGTGGATAAATGGTATGCTAAAAAAATGTGAACAAATAAATGATAAGCTAAAAAAATAAGAATAGAAAAAAATAAACTAAACTTAGTATCGACTAAATCGACAATAAAAAAATAAAATAAATAAAATTATTATGTTAGTGTCGACTTAATATCAACTAAACCAACAATAATAAGTTAAAATAAATAAAATTATTATGTTAGTGCCAACTAAAAAATTAAAATAAATAAAATTATTAAGTTAGTGTTAGCTACATCAACAATAAATTAACTATAAAAAATTATTTTTGATGGCTTGATCGACACAAAAACTTTGTGTCAACTTGATCAGAGACGGCTAAAAAAGTGACGAATAATCAATAATAAATTTAATTTCATGTCGATTTTTATTATTTAGTGTCGACTTTAAACTGACTATAAATTCAAACATTCATATAGTAATTTTACAGAAACCAAAAATAATATTTAACAATTTAGAAAAATGAAAAATAAAGAAAAAATTATAAGGATTAAAATTAAATTTACTTATTTTACTGTGATTAAAACATTTAATACTTTTATTTTAAACATGCTTTTTGAAAATTTATTCAAACAATCCAAATATATACTTGATCTTCGAGAAATATTTACAAGTATTGCACACGTAGTACATTAAGGAATTAAAAGAAAAAAGACTTTGTGAGAAAGTATTATCAATGTATCTCACTTAAATCTCAAATACACCTTTATTGTAATTTTTAATATAAAAAAAAAACTTTATCTATAGTAATTTATTAATTAGTGAGCTAAAGACACTTGTTAGTGCCTTAATCTGATTGTTTTTGTGTTAGGTAACCCACTAGCATCCATGGCAGATAATATAATAATTCACGAATCATTTGAAAGTCTTTGAACGCAGGACGTTTGTATCAAAATTAAACGAACCCAACCAACTTGATTTAAAGCTAGATTGGGAAACTTGGTCAACCCACGTCTTATAAATTAATCAGTTTTTTTTCCTTCTCATTTTTCCAATTTGACTCTCTACGTACAGTTTCCAGTTTTATGCACAAGCTCATTGCTCAACACAAAACTAACTTGCATTTCCAACAAAAATACCATAACATGAAGCAGATTCTAATTTCATTGAATGCACAGCTTCCACCAGATCACATAATTCTCTAATTTTTACAAAAAGTCAATGAATTATGGCTAATTAGAACACAGCAGCTTTTAGTCTCCTCCCCAACTCCTTTCTGTATGTTCATAAAGAAATTACCATTGTTTAGCATAACATCAAATAATGCAAATATTTCCTATGACACATGTTAAGAGGTTAATAACAAAAACTTTAGCTTATACCTCATAAGTTGCCTATCAAAGCCTGAAGCAGCTAAGAGCCCTCTATTCTCTTCAGCCCTTCTGAGGAGGTAAGGCATAACCATTTCAACTGGCCCAAATGGCATGTACTTGCTAACCTGAAACCCTGCATTGCTCAAACCAAAGGAAAGTGCCTCTGACATTCCATATATATATATATATTACACTATTGATAATTTATAGATCAATTGAGCTATATTATAAATCATAAGAAAATGAATAGCCACCTGATTCAATATTGTGGGTTGCAAGAATATCTGAACCGGGTCCATTGGCGATCTTCTCAAGAAGAAATGATGAGCAATCATTGAAGCAATTATGTGTGTCCAGAATGGTATTGTGAATTGGTGATGCAAACCCCAAAGAATCAGCGAATTTACTCTCTGTGGACATGTAAGCACCCCTCACCAATTTGAACCCCATTGGAACTCCCATTTTCTCTGCTGCTTTTGTTGTGAGCAACAACCTCTCCTTGGCATCTTTCAAGTAAGTTTGAATGGTTCCAAACACAATGGGCTTGTCATCCTTGTTGTGCATGATGGCTGAAGAGTATGTGAAGTAGTCAATAGCTGGCTGAACTGTGGTGTGTTCTGCATCAACCAACAAAGGAATATTGGCATCCACACATTTTTGGCAAAGTTCAAGGAGTCTCTGGTTGGCAAGTTCAAGATCACTCTCTTCTTCTGGGGTTAGAGGCTCTGGTCTCTTCTGCGTGTGGTACAAAGGGCTTGATTCAGCAAAAATTGGAAGGGAATCTTGCTTCCATGGCAAAATGAATGAAGGGTCTTTCTGTTGCCATCTTAGAAGATCACTCACTCTTTCTAGCAATGCCATGGGGCATATTGCAGTGATTTTTAAAATCACAAAACTCACCTATCACATCAAAAATTAAATTGACCTCCATAAGTTTCCAATTAAATTAACATATCCGTGGTAATAAAAAAATATATATATAGAAAAGTTGCAAAACCAATTGACTCATTTTCAACAAATGGGAAAGTGGGGAGAAAAGAAAAAGGTTTGGTTTTTTTAGACTCCCACTAATTTTGGACTAGTGGCATTTTTTTCCCACGTTTCATTTTATAAATGACATGCATTAACTATGATCTGACCAGTCACCAATAGAAAGTAAGATATAAAAAACAAATGTAGAATAAATACAAAATAAAGAGTATCAAAATCCAAATAGCATAACTTGTTGTAGACATCCAATTTCGTCCTGGGGCATACAAACAACAAGATAGGACATCAGAGGGCTCAAAAGCCCAAATCAACTATTTTTAGTGGCCCGAAACGGACCGTTCCAAAATCAGAACGGGCCGTTCTCAAGTCCGGAATGGGCCATTCTTGAATTGGAACAGGCCGTTCTGAGACTCCTAAAAAGACCTAAAAATTGTAGGTTGGAATGGGTCGTTCCAGATCAGAACGGGCCGTTCCAAACCAATCAAAGGGCCTAATCTCATTTCAGAATGAGTTGTTCTGGTTCCCGGAACGGGCCGTTCTGATTTCAGAACGGGCCGTTCCAGGATACAAAAATAATACATGACGTTCGGATCCGGAACGGGCTGTTCCGAATCCAGAACAAGCCGTTACGGCCCACATCTGATGCCTATAAATTGAAATCTCGACCACAGTTCTAGGGACCTCCAAAATTTCATCCAAAACTCCTTAGAGCTCGAAATTTCTCTCTCTCTCTCTTATTGTATTTCTTGAGTTTTGTGAGGCTTATTGTAGTGTGAAAGGTTGCCACAAAGCACCTAAATCTCCATATTTGAAGATTCAATAGAGCTCGTTCAAGAGGTATTTCAGTCAATCTTCTTCTCTCTCTTTGATAAATATTGTTTATAATAAAAGCAATCATGTAGACATTTTAGGGTCAATTGTATAATTTAAATTTCAAGAATGTAAATAGTTATTAATAAAAGGGGATCTAATATTTAATTTATTATTTCTTACCACATTAACTTCATCATAGGGTACTGATTTAGGGCGCTGTAGGGGTGCTTAATACCTTCTCTACACGTAACCGACCCCAAACCCAATTTTGGTTATCAACGCCGTTATTGGACCTTTTAAAAATCTTTTTTCTTTTTCTAATATTTTGAGTAAAACATTGGTGGCGACTCCATAGAATCTATTTTCAAAATCATCAATTAAGGATTAGTCTGGTGTCCGTGCATTCCTTAATTGATGAGATCTTTAAAATGATGTCTAAACCATAGGTCACAAGATCGGAAATTTTCGGGTTGCGACAGATGGTGACTTCACTGGGCACGTTTAAGGAGGGTCATACCCATTTAATTGATGAAGTTAATAAAATAAAAATAATAATTTAAATATTTTTTCCCTTTACTTTGTTTGTTTTATTTGCTTAGCTTTAATATCTGTTTGTCTGTTTACACTACTAGAAAAATTAAAATTAGAGAGGGAACAA